GTGGCTTACAGGGCGGCCTCTTTGAAAGGATAGCGGAGGCCAGCGGTGCATCAACGTACGAAGAAAGAAGGAACTCCTTCATCTCCAAAGTGAATGTATTCGCTTGATTTTGGACGGAGTTCAAACGTTTGTTTGTTAAAACGTCCACATGTAGCTTGATACATGGTGCTTGATATTTAAATGCTGGTTTTCTTATCCCAACAATCTCTTAATGTTATCAGAGACGGCTTTGCAGAGAGTTGTGATATGAAAAGATACAAAGCATCAAGACGATCTCTGGGGACAGCAGATCATATGCTACAATATAATAATAATATTGATGGTGTGTAATTTATAATAACAATAATTAAAAAATTAATTGTAATATACTAACATTATGAATGTAGCATGTAATAATACAATATAATAATATTTTATATATTTATTAACACTATATATATATTATTTTTTTTTATTGATTATTATCTCAATCATGTAATACCCTCAGCAACAATGCTGTTAATCAAGACCTGACACACCTGACTTTTCTGTTTTTTTTTCTTCTGTCTGTCTGGACGTCTTGACAACATATGCAAGCTGAAGCGACTTTATTATCCTTTTTGTGTAGACACTTCCTCATAATGTTATCATAGACATAATAATGCTTATTATGACGTATAATTTGTAACTATAGGGCGGGTGCCATCTTCCAAGATTATTTTATTGTTGTTTTATCTTTTATTTTATTGTTGCTATTGCTATATTGTATATTATATTATATTCTTTTGTTTTTATCTTCATCATATCTCTATTTTATTTTATTAGAATAATGATCTGCTGTTCAGAGATCTGTCTGTATGCTTGCTTCTTTTCTTCCAATGCTTCGTCAGCAAGCTCGTGCTGATACATTAAGTAGAATTTGTTTTGGTAGTAAGCCGCATTTTTTCAATATCAGACCCTGTTCATCGCTACATGTGTGAGTTTTAACATCAATTTACGTTTGGAATCGGTCAAATTCGGATAATTCTACTTTGAGATGAGGAGTCTCGTTTTCGTAGGTTGTCCGGCCTGCTTGCCCTGTTCAGATGGCCGCCCCTGTAGGGGGCACTCGCCTCACAGTCGGATGCTGGTTGTCTAGGGTATATATGTCTTGTTTATATGTCGTATGTATGATATGTTATGTGTCTATGTAATATTCTATTATATATTTAGTTATATGTTATGTTGCTATGTTATATGTCTATGAGTCCCTGTGTCGTATCACTGTCAGTTGGATGTGAACTTGAAGCATCGTGCCCTCACTGAGAAATGGACTTTCGTGAAAGTAGGCAAGACATTTGGTGTCCGCAGGAAATTGATTGAAAAAACATTGTTTATTCACGATTCTGGAGGTAATGAAGGTTAGATTGGGTAAGTATTTTTAAGGTGTTGGATGTGGCAATTACCCTTTTGGAAAACATATCGACACAGATTATGTTCGCCGCTCTAGTGGGCGGCAGCAGTCGATGCAGCGGACTGACTTCCTATCTATTTGTGATGTCACAAATCCTGTTGGTAGGCCCCGCCCCTTAAAATCTGATTTTCAGTGAGGACAGAGAAACTTTCCACTTTCAGTAGATGAATGTAAAAACATCCTTTTAGAGTCAAACTCAGAATTCAAATATCAACAATATTTTTGAGTGGAGGGGAATTTAAAATAACATTAAATCATACATTAAAGCAGGAAAAACCTAAGATTAAAAACAAAAACAAAACTGTTGAGGAGAAGGGAAACTAATTCTCAGCAAAAACCCAATGAGGTTTGAGGGCATGCATGAGATAAAAGAGTTTCTGTGTGTGGTATGTTGGTGTGAATACACCTGTGTTAGCCGTGGAACCAGACATATCTAGGAGCTCACGTTTTATTTACTCTGACAAATGCATTCTGGCAACACCTGTGTGTGTGTGCTCAAAGACAGAAAGAGGGATGTGGGAAGGAAGCAAACTATCAATTGACAGTTTGTAAAGCTCTATTTCAACTTTCTTTGATGATAAGAAAAATATTTTCTGTATCTCTTAGGGAGACTTGTTTAAAAAGTCTGATGGCATATACAGTAGTTACTCTGAAAAAATGACACTGGGGTAAAGCAAGCAATCTTGCAGTAATTCAAAGAATTGCTTTGTAAGCAAGAAACCAAAGATGCTTTGAACAATCAGGGGAATGTCCCTGCACGCTCAAAGATTCAAAGTGCTGCTGGTAGAATCTGTGTACAAAGGTGGGCAGCAGAGACAGATGAGGTTGAGTTCAAAAGAAGGAAGATAAGTGGAGCACTGTACTCACGCAGCAGCAGAGCCTTTGGCTTCTTCTTTTAAGATTTTTTGAAAACATACAGTAACTGTGACATTAAGCTCCCAAGCTGAAGTCTTCCTTCATAAGCAGTTTTGTCACCGGTGAAGCTCTGGCACCTGGGAGGAATATTCTCACTCTCTTTCGACTTGACAACGTCATACACAGAGGGTAAAGAAATTAACTGAGAATCTACATCATTCTGCAAGGTATGTATGTTCTGAACATGAAAATATAAGGATTAAACCTTCTAAAATTACTTCTGTTTTTGTCAGTTTGATAACTGAATAATGTCTTTTAATGTGTCTATATGCATTAATTATTTAGTAGCATCTAAGGGTGGAACTGTAATGAAATGCCTTTGCTTTGGTATAGTGCATGAAAGCCTGAAACTGCACTGCACTGATCAATGTCAAAGTTTTAAAATTAAATTAAAATTAATGACTGATCAGTTTTAAAGATTCAAATGGCTCGAGCTTCAAATTACACACACAAATGCTTTTACAGAACTGTCAGTTCTGTAAAACACTGAAACAATATTTATAGGACATTAAAGTTCTCAAAAAGTGTTTCTAGACAATAGGGCTCATTCCTTTCCTCCTGTATTATCTTCCCAAATAGATATGTACAAAAAACCTTATACCTTCCTCATCGATGGGTGCCCCTCACCCCATACTATATATAATGTTACTATTGTGATTTGTGAGAAGTGAAAGTGCTGCAACAACAGATATCAGCATATCATGTTTGTTCCTAACATCAGATTTTGAAGAAGTACTCACAAAAGCCACTATTTGCATAAATGAGAAATGACATGTTTATTAAAGTGCTGTATTACTGTACAGTAAGTGTAATTTAATATCTATCAGTTAGTTAAAAGAGGAGTCTTATGTTTTAATGTTACACAGAGGAAGCACCTTGATTTTTTTCCTATTGATTTACTGTTATTGCATGTTAGTTACCTTTGTATACAGATTCTCAGTAACACATCTTAAAGTCCTTGGTGATAACGATCTTCTTAGATCAGATAAGGCACAGAGTGCAACCACCTACAGCCTCTTCTGTGCATGCATTCACATATTGTCTAATGGGACTGAAATTGGGTCATTCACAACCAAAGGGAAAGAGCTGAATTAGAACACTGGCTTCCATCCTGTAAACAGTCAAAAAGCTGTACAGTGACTTTTACCCCATTCATTCAGGGTGCAGACCTTTCACTAAAACATCAAACTTATGTGCTAGATTGTTTAGTTTTTTTTCTCAGTTTGGTAACAGCAACATGTTATCAAATTTTATTTGGGGGAATAAATTGTACTCACTGGGTGATGATGGTACCAGTGAACAAGTCAGGACTTATAACTGACGTGTTAAGGAATAAATCCTTTTATTATTAACCATTAATAAAGCCATTGATTACAATTTGTAAACGTAGAGGAAGAAGAATTCAGATCTTTTACTTAAGTAAAATTATTAATATCACAGTCTACAAATGCTCCATTACAAGTATCACCAGCCTTCAAAATGTTACTTAAGTTAAATAAGACAACACATTTACTGTGAATTTCTGGTACATTTCTTAGAAATTTCATTTTATCTATACTTTATTTTATTTTATTTTATTTCTACTTTCTATTATTTTGGAGGAAAATATTGTATTTTTCACACATTTATCTGTCAGCTTCAGTTACTAATTTGCCATTTAATATTATTAATGCAAAATATAATCAATAAATCAAGAATGTAAAATTAGAGATCAGGATAATTAAAATAATAATAATAACAATAAAAAAATAAAATATATAAATAATAAATAAAATATGCCTTAAAATAAGCCACCAAGATACTTTAAGGACTAAACTTACACAAGTTCAGTCCTGTAAGTATCTTAGTGACCATGTCGATTGAACTTTAACCTGGAATGCCCATGTTCTCAACTCCTCCAGAGAATGTATTCTATACATAGGCTGCATCCGTATGGAGTCGAACAGAAAATTATGTTTTTGTTTAAGCCTGCTGTTTTAGATAGTGTTATCAGGTATGGAATTTCTGCATGGTTAGGGAATATTCTTGTGTCATTAAAATTAAATTAATTTTAATGACACAGGAAATTAAATCAAAGTTAGCACATTTGGTTCAGGCTGCAATGAAAATCATCCATAAGAAAGATCATCATATTTTTACACTAGTGCTTACACATGAATGCATGCATAGTTATAATCCTATATAATATAATATAATATAATATAATATAATATAATATAATATAAAGCTACTTTTACTTTTGGTACTTTGAGTATATTTTCATGCTAATACTTATTTTCGTCTTACTTTTACTTATATAACATTTTGAATGCATGACTTTTGTTTGCAACCTTTTTCCACTACTGTACTTCAGTAAAGGTACAGCAGCATTATTAGCAAACTGTATTTATAGTATCAAAAGTACTCATTATGCAGAAAAACACCTTTCAGTGGGTTATATTATTACAAAATGTTCAGTATTATTGGATATTACTTGTTATAATTTAGTAGTAAAGCACAGCATCCTAGTCCATACATTTGCATGTGATATCCTAATGTGTAAATGTATGAGTCAGATAAATGAAGACAGTTCCCTCTCCAAATTGTAATTCTGCAATTATTTGCTGTTTGGTGTAAATAGTCGTCTTCTCTTCTCAGATTAAAAACATGATTGCTGTGACATCGGACTACGAATCTATTACACAAGATGATTACTCAGATGAAGGGCCCTGCAACCTCGACCCCAACCCCATGGAGGTCATCACCCAAACTTACATCCACTCCATCATCTGCGCCTTCGGCCTGATTGGTAATGCTCTTGTGATTGTCACCTACATATACTACAAGAGAACCAAGACAATGACAGATGTCTATCTCTTCAATGTGGCTGTGGCTGACCTGATCTTTGTAGTAGCTCTACCATTTATCATATACAACGAGCAGCACGGTTGGTTGATGGGTATGGTGGCTTGCAAGATTCTAAGGTCAGCCTACAGCATTAACCTCTACAGTGGCATGCTCCTGCTCGCGTGCATCAGCGCCGACCGTTATGTAGCTATAGTTCGAGCCAGAAGATCCTTTGGTGCCCGCTCACGCACTGTGATCTACAGCCGCCTCATCTGCTCATCTATTTGGGTGTTTGCAGTGTCTTTAACTCTTCCCACAGTCATCTACACTGAGCTCTTCGAAGAGCAGACTCTAGGGGCCGGGCCTGGCGCTATGATGTGTCAGCTGCGTTTCAGCATGAATGAAACAGCAAAGCTAATGAAGGTGCTGGTTCCGAGCCTTCAAATGGCCATTGGGTTCCTGCTGCCTCTGTCGGTGATGGTGTTCTGCTACTCCAGCATCGTGTGCACCTTGCTGAGAACACAGAGCACCAAGAGGCACAAGGCCGTCCGTGTAGTTTTGGCAGTTGTTGTGGTTTTCATCATTAGTCACCTTCCCTACAATATGGCCCTGCTGAGTCACACTGTGTCTCTTTTTAAGGAGAGGAGTTGTGAGGAAGAAAAGATTAAACTCCAAGTCCTGGCTGTTTCCAGGAGCATAGCCTACCTGCATTGCTGTCTCAATCCCATCCTCTATGCCTTCATTGGGGTGAAGTTCAGGAGCCACTTCCAGCAAATAATGTTGGACCTGTGGTGCTTTAGCAAAAAGTACATCCACACTGTTCGCTCATCACGCGGGACGTCTGATGTTTGCACGACAGCTCGCATGTCTTCAGAGGGCTCCAACAACATGTCATCCTTCAGTGCATGATACTGCTGTGTTACAAACCGTTCTTAAGGGGATGATTAGCCCATGCTAGGACAATGCCAATGCTAATGCAGCCTCTCATTTTTCCCAAGCTGTTGCTTTGCTGTAGCTGTGCATAAGTAGCTTTAACAGGCTTAAACATGAAATCTTTTCTCAGTAAACATTAGTAGGTTTCCTTCAGTATAAAACAACATCAGACAGTCACTTTCTAGCTTAATGTAATATGTATAATGTAAGTCTGAACATTAATACATGTTATTAATAATAGCAAAAAGTAAAAAATGTTGTTTGGAAATGGAATATAATATAAATTAGTGTATAATCACCTGAAAATAAAAATCGTGTTTTCTTTACCTTAGACTGAGATGTTTTTATCTACAGAGGGAGCAGGTCCTCTTCTTGTGGAGTCTGCCATGTTGAACCACCATGTACCCAGAATGGACGGCCATTATATCCTACACACTGGTCCTTTAATATAGTCAGAAAAATAAATACACAGTAACTGTATGTGTTAATCATGTGACTTAGTAACTAATAACCTATGTTTCTCATCCTATCCTATGACAAGTAAAAATGACTGCTGTGAGAAACATCTATATATTATACTTTGAAGTTACATCTTATTTGGATACAAGTTAAACCATGCCATTATGAAGTAGCAATGGCACTGCTAATGACACATGGAATAAAATGTCTTAAGCAATGCTGCGATTCAGCCCTGTTTTTCGTTGTTGTTATTTTATTTTTGTACTTGTGTCACCATAGCAACAACCTCTTATTTTCTTGTATTTCTATGTATATGATGATGAATCAGTCTGGTATTTCAAAAGAATTTAGCATATTTCTAATCTTGCCCTACTGTCACTGTTTAATCTATACATACATATCCTATTTTTTTTAATACATTATTGAGTTTTTACATTTTGTATATCTGATTGTATTATTCTGTCACACTGAATAAACACTGTGGCTAAAAAAGTCTCAAAAAGCACTGAAAATAGCACTTGTATGTAAATGTACAGTATATACACAATCATT